ATAGGGGGCAAAGTAAAATACCTGGGTTAGTAATTGAGATATAGTTATTTTCCCTTAAATATATAATTATATTAATAATTGGGTTAGTAATTGAGACAATTTGAAACTAATGTTTTAGGCTAGGTACCCTTGAAGTATAAAAATATTTTTATTTTGTTCCTTCAAGTAATATTTTTATTCCACATTAAAAACATCTATTATTTTTTTGAAGAGAAAATTCATATGGCAAAGTAAAATAATTTTCCCTTAAATATATAACTATATTAATAATTGGGTTAATAATTGAGGCAAATAGTGGAGGGAATAAAATGAAAAACTCTTTCGACTAGATACCATTTGAACAACCGGTTTCACCAATTTTAAAAACTATGTGTCACCCTTTTACTTTTCAGTATCATACTGAAAAGTAGGTTGATAATATAGTAGTGTTGCCCGCAATGATATCTATATCATTTGGGTGGGTGGCGGGCAGGAGAAGAAAGATGTCCCATCAAGTCTATTAATAGGGGAAAAGTTACTGTATTTAAGAAGTTACTTTATTAAAAATTATAATTATTTAAGGTTAAGTTAAAAAAATTTTAAGTGTAAATTATAATTTTTAAAGGTCATGATCGATCATGATAGATTGTATTTGATAACGAAGTTACAACTTTTAAAAGTTAAGTTACAACTCATAAGAAAGAAATTATAACTGCTCAGGATAAATTCATAATCGATTATATATATCTGTGATTGATCATAATCCCCTTGATCAATCATGAACTTTTTCTGTTAGTTGTAAGTTTTTTCTTTTTAATTGTAATTTGATTATAACTATTATAAGTGGCGATACCGAAGACTTTCCCATTACATAGCAAAGACTTTCCCATTACACAGCGTCTAAACTTCAATTTTCAAACAATGACTTAAGGAGCCAAAGTTTGACAAGGTGGTCAATTTGGAGCTTCTTATACACACCAATCAGGTGGGGTATAGACTAGTCCATTCTAGAAGCAATTGACCAAAAGGGATCGGCAGTGGCCCAGGATTACAGAGTAAATTTATTAGACTGGTCACAAAAGAATCGACATAATTTCGATAAAATATAATTTAAATATGACAAGAACTAGATTATGTATTATTATAAATGATTTAAATATGAATTAAATAAAATTTAAAACAACATAATTTAGACACAAAAAGAAATCCGATATAACACGATTCCCTAAATCTTTCAGTCTCGACTATTGAGACCTAAAAAAGCCAGAATTCAAGTTACTAAAATACACTTCTTAAATATAATTTTTTTAATTTAATAATTATGAGTGTTTGTACTACTTTACTTGCATTTTGATTAATTTTCTCTTTGATTTAATAAAAAATAAATCATTCACGCTGAAATTAAAATTTGTACTGCTAATAAATGTACCTTAATATGAAAAACTTTTGAATCTCTATTTTACCTTTATAAATAATTGTAAAGACTACTATATCATTTCACAATTAAATATCGAAATTATCATTATATTCTTATGTATTTAAATCTCCAAATTATCTCTAACGTCTTTTTTAATTATCTATTTACTATGTATAAATATCAATTTTTATATAAAAAAAAATTGATCGGCAATATTACCCTTAAAAAATATATATCATTATATTTTGAATAAAGTATTCAAAAAACCTTTAAAAATTTCATCAATCAAATATTACTCTTCTTATATGCAAATATAACATTATGCTTATATTTGTGTATTTTTTTTCATCGAAAAGTTTAACTTTTTTATTTTTAAGATAAAAAATAATCATATATATAATTTTTTAAAATTATGCTACATCAGTATAATTTTTCAATAACAATAAACTTTATAAATTGTATTAAGATTTTATGTGAAAATATATATTGTAATGTATTTTTAGGTAAAACTTAAATTTTTTTAAAAAAATTTAAGTTTGAATAATTTGAATTTTTTTTAAAATTTTTAAGTAAAACTTAAATTTTTTAGAGTAGTATATTAAATTCTATCTCATTTCACCTAACAAATTCCTAATTATAGTAAGGTTTCAATATGATTAATTTGTTAACAATTACTTTTATTTTATTAAAGAAATTATAAATAGAATCCTAAAAAAATGAATTTCAAAAAAATTAAAATTTTTAAACATTACTAAAAAAATCGATCTCAATCACAAAATTTTAAAAAAAAATATAATTTTAAGTATTCCTCATTTTTTTAATCTTTCCTTCCTTATAATTAGAACAAATAATTTTGATGACATATAAAATTTTTATAATCCTATAATATAATATAAACAGTAAAAATTAATTTTGATAAATTTGAGACAATATTTAATTCAAATACACATATTTAAACTATTCACGTACAATGCACATAGTGCATTACTAGTATTCATAAAAGTTAAATTCTGACTTAATCCAAGTTATTGCCACGATTTGCTTGGCTTGGAATTGGGATAAGATGAAATCAATTGGTTTGATGGGTTGAATTATTGAATCCCAAAATCAAACACGCGTTGCCTTGAAGGAAGCTTCTATTAAAACATGTATCAGGCCAAAAAAAACAGAAAAATCCTTAGAGGTTGTTGACTTGAAGGAAGCTTCTATTAAAACATTGTTCAAGCCAAAAAAAAAATCCTTAGAGGTTGTTGACTTTGGATTGTGTCGTTGATTTCAATTGAGTCATAGTTTTGGTGTCATTCCCGATGAAAAGGGATTGGTTTTATGGTCGTCCTTTTATGGATTTGAAATTCGTAGCCCTGAGAAATTTTCATGAGTCAATGGTTTAAAATTAGGGGAATTGTGCTTTGCACTTCAAAAAATTTAAAATTTCTCATTTTTTAGGCTGAAAAATTAATTTTCTAATAGTACACCTTAAATATATTAAAAATATTATAATATAATTTTTTTTATTAACTTCTGTTGCTTATTTTGTCAAAAAGAAAGTTGATGGAAAAGTCATATTGCAACACTTTTAATACATTTATATTCTATTTGGTAAGAGAGATGAAAAATTGGAAGGATAAAAAAGTACAAGAATAGATTTTTCATCATTTGAGAAAAAAATATATTTTTTCTCTTTTTTGTTTAGTACAATGGATGGAAAGTTGAAAAAAATTAATTTTTTATTATTTGGTATTGAAAGAAAAGTGGAAGGAAAAAAAGATGTATATACTTAATTTACCATTATACCCTTACATACAAAAAATAAATTTATATTATGAATAAAATTTTCAAGTTTTAAAAATGTTCAATTCGTTTTTATATAGTTATAAAAATAAATATATAAATAAAAATATGAATAGAAGAGATAATAGCCAAAACACATAAATATGAAAAATATGTGTGATAGGATATTTAGAAGTATACAGATTTTGAATTGGAATTATTACTTAATATTTAAAAGTATATCCAATTGCAAAAAAGTTAATTTGCCCCAAAAGTAGATTGATTTTAACTTTCCTCCCATTTTCCTCACAATTTTGGAAGAAAAAAAATGGGCCAGAGAGAAGCAATTTCCCTCATATTTTCCTTCACCTCCTATTTTCCTTTAGAGTCAAATAATGGAAACTCTTTCTTTCTATCCTATTTTTTTTCTTCCATTTTTCAACCAGCAACTTTTTATCAAACCAAACACACTATCGGGATGTATTGTAAAAAATTGAATTTTTGGGAGTACAAAATAAGAATTACTAAATCTTTTCGGGGGTACAAAATAAAATTCACCCTTTAAATAGGTATATCGGGTTTGGTGTGTATTGTAGAAATTTACTGACTAATGAAATCACTTCTATAATTTACACAAAATTTTAAATTTTACAAGTGACCACCTTTGCTGATGCTGCAACCCAAGTATTTAGTGGGATTTTCCCAATCTCTCTAAATCGGTTTTTCATTCAATTATATATATATATATATATATATTGTTTAAGTTGATTCAATTATATTTCCAACACTTTTTTTAAGGTCCTAAATTTCACTATCTTTTTTTCGTTCCACCGTCAAGGGTATGCGAGTTAGTTTACGCACATCTCGACTAATTTTCATCTTAGTCCGATCAATGACAGGTCATTCACACTGGAACTAAAGTATTTATAAGGAATAAATCACTCATGGCCTGTCCCCAAGAAAGGGCCAAAATTTGAACTTATGACGTCTGAATTTACAACTCGTTCCTATTGCCACTTCAACTATCCTTCGGAGTTTAAATTTTACTTATGTTGGTCTCTTTTGATTTTTTTTTGAACAATGTTAGACCATCTTCAATCCTTACCAAAAAAAAAGGTAAAAAAACTCTTAAAAACCTTCTTTCAATGCTACATCCATATTCGTACAAAATGAAAGGAAATCTTTTTTTTAAACTGAAATCAAGGGAGACCATTTTTAAACCCAAATATTTAATGATTGGATTACACTTTCTTTTAAATATTTAATGATTATATTTTATCTTTTTTTAAATTTAGGTCGGTCTTCATTTAAATTTGAAATTTCTTTCATTTAAAAAAAAGTTTGTCAATTGGGCACGTCTATATGAAATCAAATTTTTTATCCTTTTTTTTTAGTTAAATTTGAGTTAAAATTTAAGTCTCCGTTGGAGATGATCTTAAAGTTAGCTCGACTCAATCATTCGATACGGAATTAATAAATTTAAATTTAATAAATTTAGAAAATAATAGGTGAATTCACTTTTTATCGGTAATTAATGGGAAAGGAATTTGCAAAGGATTTTTTTTTATATAAAAAAAAGGCTAGAATTAGGAAAGTCAAAGTCTGTTTTTTTTTTTCTTCAAAAATGACGGCTCGGAATTGTTTACTGAAATAATTTTCAAAAGACTACAGTTGGTTTTCCTGTAGTAAGAAAATGGCCATCTCCCTGTTGATTGTAGGAAAACAGCTTATACCCTGATCAGAACACTCAACACTCGAAGCTTTTTCAACTATGGCGAAGAATGAAAAAAGCCACACAAACCCAACTTTTATTCTCATTTTACTATGTTTTTGCATGGGAAGCTCTATTACGTATGCGCAGAGAGACACAATCAGACCAGGGGAAGCCCTTAATTTCACAGAGCAGTTGGTTTCTGCCAATGGAGTTTTCAGATTAGGGTTCTTCAGCCTCGGAGATTATAATCGTTATTTGGGTATATGGTACACTGACTCTCCTAACCTCAGAGTTTGGATGGCAAACCGCGAGAGTCCTGTGGTTGGCCGCATTGGAAATCTTACCTTGGATAACAATGGCATGTTGAAGATTATGGTAGTGGGAGCAAATCAATTTCCACTGAATTCTAATTCTCAATCTGCCCAAAATTCCTCGGCTACTCTTAATGATTTGGGTAATTTTGTGTTGACGGAGTTGAATCCAGATGGGTCGGCCAAGCTGGTGTTGTGGCAGAGCTTTGATTACCCTACAAACGCCTTCTTGCCTGGTATGAAAATGGGTATGGATTTTCGGACAGGGAAGAAGTGGGCAATTACTTCTTGGTTAAGCAATTTAGTTCCAGCTTCAGGAGCTGTGAGTCTGCAATGGAACCACACAACAGATGGTACAAACACAGGGCAAATAGTGATGAAACATAGAGGAAAAGACTACTGGACAACTGGCCTCTTCAACACTGCTGACCAGACGTTTGAAAATATTCGATGGTGGAGGAACAGTGATGAATTTAGCATCAATATTTACAAGTTCACCGTTGTTTCCAATGAGAACGAGAGCTACATAACTTTTACTGTCCCTAAAGGTACTATTTCAAGGTGGGTATTGAGTGCAGATGATGGGTTCACCTTCACCGGTGACGGGACAGAACCGAGAATCGGGCCGATAGTTCCATGTAATGGGGTCGGATCATATTCAGGTTGTTTGGTAGCGAGGCCACCGAATTGTAGGAGTAGCAGTGAAATTTTCGTGCCACAAACTATTAGTCTTTCAGGGGGTGTTTCGTACGCGGATCAAAATTCGAGCTTGGGTCTCAGTGATTGTTGGGACCAATGCTGGGAGAATTGTTCCTGTATTGGTTATAATACCTTTCACACTAATAGAACTGGCTGCCAGTATTGGAGTGGTGGATTGACCGTTGTAGAAGGAATAATCGGTTCTTGGACCACCATCTTTGCTTTGAACTCGACTCTGAATGGGACATCATCGAACAATAATAGCAACGCATCAAAATCGGGTGAAACCTCTCTCTCTCTCTGTTCATATATATAATATTTGATTGCATAATCAGCTTAGCTTGTCTTAATCTTTTCATTGTTAATGTGTTATTCAATTTCAGGCAATCGTTGGTGGATACGGATGATTGTTTCTATACTGGGTGTTTTTCTTATACTTCTCTTGGGATCCTTATGCTATCTAAGGAGGAAAAAGCTCAAAGGTCATCTAGAGTTTATGCACTTTTTATTTATACTTTTCTTGGAAAGTCTTATTTATACTTTGCTTTCTGGAGATAGTAAGTTTTCTCATGTGGTTAATAAGTGTATCCTTGAATTGTTTACACCACAGAAGAGAAGGAAAGATACCAAGAAGAGATACTGCTTGAATTAGATAGACTTGATCCCAAAGAGATTGGACATGCTGGGAAGTATGCAGTGAAAAAATTCAGTTTTGCTTCCGTTGTGGCTGCCACCAATAATTTTTCGAATGAAAATAAACTTGGAGAGGGTGGTTTTGGTCCTGTTTATAAGGTAAATTTTGGGTTGGTTTCTGAAATTGACAAAGAAACAAATTTGATTAATGACTAAATTTGAAGCTTACCCACAAATAATTATTGCAGGGACGATTGCCTGAGGGAAAAGAAATAGCAGTGAAGAGACTATCAAGGGGATCGGGACAAGGGCTAGTGGAGTTCAAGAATGAGATTATTCTAATTGCCAAACTCCAACATATGAATCTCGTTAGGCTTTTGGGTTGCTGTGTCTATAGAGACGAAAACATGTTAATATATGAGTACATGCCCAACAAAAGCTTGGATTGCTTCCTCTTTGGTCAGTTGGACTATCAATTTCAAGTTTTCCATTTTCTTCTCTTTAAATTGTGTCCAAATCAGAGCTAAATGTGCCCACCAAATTCTGCAGACTCATTTAAAAAGAAATTACTGGACTGGAAGAAACGTTATATTATCATCGAGGGGATTGCTCAAGGACTCCTCTACTTGCATAAATATTCAAGGCTAAGAATTATTCACCGAGACTTGAAAGCGAGTAACATCTTGCTCGACGATGATATGAACCCAAAAATTTCTGATTTTGGGATGGCCAGAATTTTTGGGCGAAATGAATCTCAAGCAAACACAGAGAGAATCGTTGGCACATAGTAAGATTGCGTACTTCTGAAGTTTTTCCTTAACTATTTAACTTTGTTAGGGGCTCTAAATTTCATTACCGTCGAATGCAGTGGTTATATGTCACCTGAGTATGCTAGGGAGGGCATTTTCTCAGAGAAATCAGATGTTTACAGTTTTGGAATTTTATTGTTGGAGATTGTGAGTGGGAGAAAGAATGGAAGCATTCTTCTTGACGATCGCTCCACGAATCTTGTTGGACATGTAAGTTAACTTATTTTACATAATTTATTCATCTCATTTGTAGTCCAAACTTGGGTTTTATATGTTAAAAAAAAAATACTGTTTTTCAGGCATGGGTGTTCTGGCAAGAAGGTAACATCTTGAAGCTGGTGGATTCAACACTAGGTGATTCTTGTTCTCTTCCACAAGCATTGAGATGCATACAGGTGGGTCTCTTGTGTGTACAAGAGAGTGCAGTGGAAAGACCAACAATGTCTGATGTTATTTCCATGCTGGCTAATGAAACCATGCCTCTTCCAGACCCAGACATTCCTTCAAATTCCTCTCAGAAAAGTGATACACCGGGTTGCTCCACAAATATATCTATCACTCGGGTGGAGGCCCGTTAGAGGTTACAACTTCAATTAACATAAAGTTGATAACCAAGAATTTGGATAACCTATACTATTTTTTACTTTAGTTTTCCTCAATAATTGGATTATATTATAAATGTGTCATCAAGACATATTGAAAAAAATGTATTCGATGAGATATGGATTTAATAACAAATATTTAGTTTGCTACAGTGACAACATCATCTCAAGTCTTGTGTAAAACTAATTTTCTTTTCCTCCTTTTTCTTATGTTTCGATTTTCAAGTGCAAAGTAAATGTGTTTATGCAAGTGAACATATAGAGGAAATGTAACACGATAGAAGAGTTCACTCCACCGCATAAGAGCCTTGAACCTACCATGACCATCATCCACAATCGATTTTCGTTCTCTTCCTTGCCTAGTAAGACGGATCAAAGAAACTGATGGCGGCTTAAACATCGAGTGAGAAGAAGACTTTGTTTCTCCTAATCGTTTGTTGACTTCATATTTTGATTTGGTCGTTTGTTCACTTCATGTTCTGACTTGGTATCTCTCTCTCATTTTCACTTGTACATAGACACTCACTCAAGTCTCCTTCCCATTTTTAGAATTTGAAACAATTAAGGGTGTGTTTGATAACGTCGTCAATTCTCTGTTTTTTTAAAAAAAAGCATAAACAATTTTTATATATCTTCATGTATATGGTTAAAACAAAAAAACTTATTTGGTTGTTATTTCGATTATGAGAAATTATGAAAACGAAAACAAAAAATTCATTTGTTAACCACTTCAATTTTTCCTCTGAATAGGTTTTTTAATTATTTCTCCGCCAAAAAAAATATATATATATCGTAGTTTATTACAAATAGGATTACAACATATAATTCATACTATTAGAAAATGAGCAATGCTACTGGGACATAATTTGAGAACATAATGAATTGTCACTAATGAAATGATAATGAATTCATTTAATGCTACAATGAGACCTATCATTAAATACAATTTCACTATCATTTCATTGGTGACAACTTATTATGTCCCCAAATTATGTTTCAATAGCATTAGTGTTAGAAAATTATCCCACACTTCATACACATCCCATAATCCATAGTCCTACTTTCTCTAATACCTTCTCACTTAATCAAAATCCCAATAATCAGTACATCCTACGGCCCATGACCTATTGAGAATTCCTTAATTGATTCTACTGGCTTATCAATGATGCTTGAAGGTTCAAATATTTGTTTGTCTTTAAATGCTCTGTAGATCCTCTATGCTCTGCAATATTTTAACCCACAAAAGAGAAGTAGAATTTTACCAAAACACATCAATTATCATCCTTTCTTTAGCTGAAAATCCAACACCACATAAGAACTCGACTAACATCCAAAATAAGTATCTTAGTGATACGTGTCATATCTACCATCTCAAGTTTTCATTAGTTTGTTGCAGAAAAATTTATTATAACCATGGAGACCTAAGAACTTTTGGTTTAATTTATTAGACTTAGAATACTTGAAATATTTGTGAGTGAAAAGGGATACTCAAATTAAGAGTAGAGCCCCGTATATATATCCAAAAATAATACAGGGTGACTTAAACATCCTTGTAGTTTAGGCAAAATATAAAAATCATAGTAAGGGTAAAAAAGGGAAAAGAAATCCTAATAAACTAGACTATCTATACTCCAACACTCCCCCTCAAGCTAGGCGCAAAAATGTCAACTAAGTCAAGTTTGACAACGGAGTCCCGAAGAATAGACAGAGTGACAGGTTTGGTAAAAACATCCGCAACTTGATCACTGGTCCCCACAAACGATGGAGTAACAAGACCACTGCTGACCTTCTCCCGAAGAAAGTGAACATCGATCTCTATATGCTTCGTTCTCTCATGTAGTATAGAGTCAGAAGCGAGCTGAATAGCAAATTGATTATCACAATATAATGTGGATGGAGAGGTCACTAAAAAACCCAACTCGTCAAGAATCGATCGTAGCCAGATAATCTCACACGTGCCAAGTGCCAATGCCCGATACTCTGCCTCTGCGGACGAGCGGGAGACAACTGTCTGCTTCTTGCTCTTCCAAGAGATAAGATGAGTCCCTCGAAAAGCACAGAAACCCGTAGTAGATCGACCATCACATGCTCCCCCATAATCTGAATCTGAATAACAGGCTAGAGAACCGGTCTGAGATCCTGATGCATAAAACAACCCAAGTCCAGGACAAGACTTGAGGTACCAAAGAATATGATAAACTGCATCAAGATGAGGCTGACATGGCCTATGCATGAACTGACTAACTCGGCTGACTGCGAATGAAATGTCCGGCCTAATATTGGCTAAGTAGATAAGTCTACCTACCAATCATTGATAAACTGTCGGATCTTTCAACTCCTCACCTTCAGTAGTAAGCTTCAAGTTTGGAATCATGAGTGATGATGTCGGTTTGCACCTCAACATCCCAGTGTCTGAAAGAAGATCCAAAACATACTTTCTCTGAGAAAGAACAATACCTCTGCTTCTACGGGCAACCTCAATCCCAAGAAAGTATCGCAGAAATCCAAGGTCCTTCACATCGAAGGCCTTCCCAAGGTTTATCTTGACCTGCGCAGTCCCAGAAACATCATCACCAGTAATAATAATATCATCAACATATATCAGAAGGATGACACACTGTCCAGAAGTATTCCGTCGAATAAAGCAGGTATGATCAGAATGACACCTGGTGAACCCCAATCGTACGACTACATCACTGAAGCGAGAGAACCAGGCTCGTGGCGACTGTTTCAGTCCATAAAGAGACTTATGCAGTCGACATACCTTTCCAACATACTCCCCCTCACCACGAAAGCCCGGTGGTGCATCCATATAAATAATCTCGTCCAGATCACCGTGAAGAAACGCATTCTTCACATCTAATTGATGAAGAGGCCAAGAGTACTCTGCAGCCAGAGAAATAATCAACCGAACAGTAGTCAATTTTGCCACGGGGGCAAATGTAGCACCAAAATCACGACCTGGTACCTGAGTAAAGCCCTTTGCCACAAGTCTAGCCTAGTAACGATCAATAGTACCATCCGCAAGAAACTTCAGGGTGTAAACCCAGCGACAGCCAACAGGCTTCACCCCTGAAGGTAAGGAGACAAGATCCCATGTATGATTACGCTGAAGAGTGTCCATCTCTGTCTGCATGGCAAGAACCCACTGGGGCTCCCGCATAGCTTCTGAAATAGAGCGAGGAACCGGCGTATCTGATAAGGCCATAATATAAGCTCGAAATGTGGGAGACAGATCACCATAAAAAACATAAGCAGAGATCAGATATAAAATCTTGGCGGTCCAACCATATCGATCAACTGGACGGCGATCACGCCTTGGATAACGACGCCCTAAATCACCATCCTCTACTGATAATGTCTTATCAGGTTAAGTAACTGGCTCAGCACCTGCAATCTCATCAGTACTAACAACAGGTGCATCAATATGCTTAACAA